GTTTGAGAATAGGGTGTTGAGGAGAATATTTGGACCAAAGAGAGAAGAAGTGACAGGAGGTTGGAGAAAACTGCACAGTGAGGAGCTTCATAACCTGTACTCTTCTCCAAGTATAATTAGAATGATCAAGTCCAGGAATATGAGGTGGGCAGGGCATGTAGCAAGAATGGGGGAGGCAAGGAATGTATATAGCATATTGGTGGGGAAGCTAGAAGGAAAGAGACCACTGGGAAGACCAAGGCGTAGGTGGGTGGACAATATTAAAATGGATCTTAGATAGATAGGATGGGATGGTCTGGATTGGATTGATCTGGCTCAGGATAGGGACCAGTGAAGTGCTGTTGTGAACACGGTAATGAACCTTCGGGTTCTTTAAAATGCTGAGAAATTCTTGAGTAGCTGCAGAATTGGCTTCTCAAGAAGGGCTCAGCTCCATGAGTATGTAAGTCAATGTAATAAGCAAGCGGGATTGTGGGAATTCGGTGAAATTGAATTGCTCACTTACTGCTCTTGGCCTTTCACAGATGTTTTTGAACACATTGTAAATTTAGTTAAAATCCGACAGTAATGATTTACCTTTACCTTAAAGCCTACCCGTGTGTCTGGGTGCATTTTCAGTGGAACTCGCCCTAAATTGACTATCCATTTATCGGCGTAAAAACTCTTTCGAACAAAGCAAAGAAAGCAATATTTTTACATTAATATAGCCTTCACAGAGGAGCCGGGATAGCGCAGTCGGTATACTGACTGCCTACGGGCTGGAAAACCGAGGGGTTGGATTTCGAGTCCCGGTAGGGTCAAGAATTTTCTTTTCTCCACGTCGTCTAGACCGGCTCTGGTACCCACCGAGCGTCCTATCCAATGGGTACCGGGGGTAAAGCGGCCGAGGCGTGAAGCTGACCGCTCATCTCCAGCTAGAGCCGAGTTCAAGAAAACGTGGATCTATAAATCCACTCCCCCATACACCTTTATGGTGTAGTGCTTAATTAATTAAGTACAGGGACAATTTTACCTTACCCTTTACCGCAAATCGTACAAATTTTTCGAGACAATCAGCTAAAGTGGCTTAAAGGACCAGAATTGTCACGCTATGTGTGAATTTCATAATTTGTTTAAACCTCTCGTCCAAGTGAAGGCCAAGATCATTTCATATTAATTTAATTTGTGAGCTGGAGAGCTATGCCGGCGGTAGTTTAACTACCGGTAGGGTCACCTATGGCGGACAGGTCAAAGGGTAGAATCCAGAGATACCCTGGTCCTCCAAATTGGGGTTGGGCGTGAGGCTAACAAACTCATTCTGTGAAAAGAAATTTGTTCAGAAACCTAACAACCGGCCTCGGGACATTATGCGTGGGGACATTCCTATGGCAGCACGCACTGGTTGTGGAGACTGGGTGCAGAGGAGACCAAGGCTCACCCAGGGCTGTAGCGCCGAGCGGTAGGCATCAATACTTGAGTCTGCGATATTATGACTGTACATAAGCTGCTTTTTCACTAATTACTTTTAGGATAAATAGATAGTAGAAGCCGGGACCAACCCACCGACGATCGTCATTGGTTAGTCTGTGCAGTGCGTAAAGGGGAGCCGTGGGCTGTCCCCCCCCTTGTGAGGATACCCCGCCCAAACGCACGTCCTTATCAAATTAGTTGCGAAGTTCACAGTGACCTAAGTGTTGTGCGTACTGTGGCTCTGAAAGTGCATCGCCGTTATTAATATTATTTTGCGTTTACGGTTCCTTTATCTTGCTGAGAGCTTCATGAAGGCTGTGGATTGGATCGCAATTAAGTTTAATGGCTGTGAACAGAACAGGAAGTACGACATACGTTGCTTACAGATAGTGACTTCGTCTTCTCTTATTTAATTACGTTTTGTGCTGATGTCAACTCGTGGTAGGTGAAAAAGGAAATGTCGAAATAATAAATAAAAAACACGCTAACAAGGAGCGTAACAGACCCAGATTGGGAGGTTCGTGTATATACACAAAAATAAGTACATAACCTATACTGCCATATTGTCATCAGAATGCAAGACTCGATTATTACAGAAAGATAGAAAAATGCATTAATAAATAACGTATCGTTAGAAAATGGGGGGCAGGCGATAGCGTAGTTGGTTGAGGCACTGCGCTACAAGCTGGAAGATCACGGATTCGATTCCTGATGAGGCGGATCTTTTTTTTTTTTCAATTGACCTAACCCTTCCAGCCGCACTATAGCCCTGGAGTTGACACAGCCTCTAACAGAAATGAGTACCAGGAATCTTCCTGCGGGGTAAAGGGCTGCCGGCGCGTAAGGCTGATAACCTTACCGCCATCTGTGAGCCGATTGTCTAGAAAATATGGGAGACTCGACGTCTCACAATTCTATGAGCCTTCACGGCCTGTTGCAGGGATGGTTTTACTTTTTTCTTTACGTTATCATTGGAAAATGAGGCAAAGTTCGGGGAGACTGCCTACTTGGGAACGGTAGTAACAAACCAAAAATTATATTGAAGACGAAATTTAGAGCATATTGCATTCAGCATACGTGGTGCTTTAACACTGGCGTCAGATTACCTCACTTTTAAGGGTAAAAGATAAATTTGTCCCTGAGCTTAACTAATTAAGCACTACGCCATGCAGGCGTATGGGGAGTGGATGTATAGACCCACATTTTCTTGACCTCGGCACTAGTTGGAGGTTAGTGGTCAGCTTCACGCCTCTGCCTCTTTATCTCCGGGGAAGGCGTCACCGGAACCCATTGGATAGGAGACTGAGTGGGCCCCAGAGCCGGTCTGGACGACGTGGAGAAGAGAAAATGCTTGACCCTCCCGGGACCAGTTCGTCCAGCCTGTAGCCAGTCGCTATACCGACTGACCGGCTATTCACTTGTACGTGTATGAGGACGTAAACATTAAAATATCCAACGCTATAACTTCGTGTCTTCTTGAAATTTAGTGTGGGCTGTAACGGACACTGTCGATCAAAGAGGAGAACACAAGTTTGACAGTTTGAGAACAGGAGGCTGAAGCGAAATGTTTCGAGCTAAGAGAGCGAATAGCAGGAGGGTGGAGACAACTGCATAAAGGGAAATTTTATAGTTATCCAACTTTATCGAGTACCTCTTGAGGAACTCACGATCGCACAGGTAGTCAATTAACTTCCCACCTGTCGTGGAGGTCGTGTTCGAAAGAGCCAGATGAAGCCAATCCACATCCTCTAATTTGTTAAGATCCACTTTAATATCATCCTATAATTTACACCTGGTTCTCCCAAGTGATTTCTACTCTTTGGATGTTTCCACTAAAATGTTGAATCTATTTCTTGTGTTTCCCATGAGTAACGCATGGTCAGACCATCTTATTCCTCTTGGTCTTCACCCAAATAATATATGGCCCAATAGTTTAAGATGTCCTCCTTTCAAATTCTTATTTATTCATCATTCATAATCATATCACCACGTATTACCTAACATAATTTCAAGGAGCAAAGCCCTTTTGAGAAGCTGATAGTCATTCAGACGGCCAATAGATCCCCTATTGTTTATGCAACCCTAAGATTCATTCCATGTTCATAAGAACACGCCAGTGGATCATATCCTGGGTCAGGTGAAACCAATCCGAGTCTCACGCCTTATTTCCTTAAGACCAATTTTAATATTAACCTCCTTCTATGTCTGACTTACGCAAATGATCACTTCCCTTCAGGTTTTCAGGCCCAAATTTTATATGCATTTCTCGTTACATACAGTCTACACTCATAGCAATATATGTTTGGTACTCTGTATGGAGCCCTGAGCAAATAATTCTTATGAGGTGCAGAAGTTGACAGAAGTCCCTCACACTGAGTTAAAGCTCAACCGCGCCGTATGCATATTGTGCTTTAAGCTGCCATTGCACAGGGTGAAGAAAAGGTAAAATTGTCCGTGTGCTTAATTATATAAGTATTATGCAATTAAGATATATGGGGGAGTGGAGGTATAGCTCCACTATACTTGACCTCGGCACTAGTTGGTGGTGAGTGGTCGGCTTCAGGCCCTGTCGCTTTACCCCCGGGGAAACAGCCCCCGGTTCCCAATGGATGGGGTGGGTGGACCCCAGAGGCGGTCTTGCTATTGTGGAGAAGAGAAAAATATTTTGCGTGTGCCGGGAATCGAACCAATTTCGTGTAGTCCGTAGCCCGTCACTATACCAACTGAGTTACCTCGGATCCTTCCATTGTACAGGGACTATGTTGAAATCTCTGATACCGCTGGACAGGGAAATAAGTGTGTAGACCTGCACAGCTACATCATTTCACTTGGGAGTTTCGCACGGAGACTAAAGACATACAGTCTATAGGAGTACATAGAACACAGAGTTTCATATTCTTGTTGTCAAAGGTTTAGTAGGTCTACTATGCCCAAAATAGTTTTTTTTTTTTCCAAATTCTGTGCTTGTACATATTCTTGTAACTGTGTGCATGTCCCATAACTTCTCTGTTACCAGTCCATAAAGAAAACCGCGCATGTGTAATGTTTAGAAATTTGTTTTTAACTTGATCGGATGTGAGTTACGTACGCGGAGCAGACTCTCCCAGTTAAAGCAACGAAGGGACTACAGGCAGGTCTATACTCGTACTGTAATCTAGCGAAATAAGTTAATAGACATATATATCCTTAAATGTTTGAGGCACTACACTACAAGCCGGAAGGTCGCGAGTTCAATTCCCGATGAGGTAACTGAATTTTTCAATTGACCTAATCCTTCCAGCCGCACTATGGGGTCGTCTCAGCGTCTAACATAAATGAGTACCAGGAATCTTCTGGAGGTAAAGAGCGGCCAGAGCGTAAGGCTGACAAACTTACCGCCATATGTGAACCGATTTTCTAGAAAATCTGGGAGCCTCGACGTCTCACAACCTTATGGGCCTCCACGGCCTGTTACAGGGATAGCTTTACCTTTTTTTCTTACCTTACATCTCCTTGAGTGCATAAAACCAAAGTTGGAGCGTTGCGACGCCGGGTCATGGATACGAGAAGATATTTCACAGTTTCATGAAAGTCCTACTTTGTTCTTCCCTCACTGACTTCTTCTATTTTCCTTGCAGGCGGTTACGACATGAATGAAAGAAATTAAAAAAAATAGCCCTTCAAACCGAGGAACTACAAACTTTGTATCAGAGTTTAAAAGAGAATAACTTTAAGAACAATTTGCCTTATTACTGCTTCGAAACAATATGGCCGACAGCGAAACATCTTTCATTAAAGAGGCAAGTAATTTCAAAGCCGATAACGCCAAGTTACAAACTAAACGTCCATCACACTCATTTTCTATCGAGCAACTTCTCTCTGTGACATCAACTGCGCCGGAAATACGTTTAAGAGTAACAGACCAAGATTCACTGGAAGCTCCGCCTGCCGGTGAAGCTGGTGACAATCCTCAGTTGACAGTGACGCAAGAAGTTGATGACACTTCGCAATACAGACATTGTTCATATGGAAGAACTTCTACGATGACTTCTATCGTGAGTGCAGACTCTTCGTCAGTGGGACTACGGCCCGGATGTTGCAGTGATTGCGAGGAAGATCAGGAGATCTCCCTAGAGGAAGAGATGGAGGAGCTGACGGTGCAGTCACCCGCTGGTGGGACCGAATGCAATGCCACCGTTTCCACTACTCTAACTGATGCGGATGGCTTGAAGCCGGGCCCACATAACGGTGAGTTCCATTTCTTTATTTTCAGACGTTTCGGAAAAGAGCGTGAAGCTCAAAATTAGGGGTACATTAAAGGTAAAGGTAGCCGGTCAAGGTAGCCGAGCGGTCTAAGGCATGTACTCTCTTCGCTCGCTCGGAAGCCGGGATCGTGAGTTCGAAACCCACACAAGGCATAGATGTTTGGTATGTGTTTATTCTGTGTTTGTGTTGCCCTGTGTTTAGGTAGAGGCCTTGCGACGGGCTGATCACCTGTCCAAGGAGCCCTGCCGTCTGTAAAATGATCATGAAACTGAGAAATCAGCCCTGTGCTCCACAGTGGGAGCAAGACGAGGGAGAAGAAAGGGTAAAGGTGAAGCTGTCCCTATAACAGGCCATGGAGGCCCATAGGGTTGTGAGATTTCGAGGCTCCCACATTTTCTACACAGTCATTTCATAGATGGTGGTGAGGTTGTCAGCCTTACACGCCGGCCGACTTTTACCCCCAGGAAGATTCCTGGTACTCATTTTTCTTAGAGGCTCAGTCGACCACAGGGCCTTAGTGCGGTTGGAAGGATTAGGTAAATTGAAAAAATACACCTCATCGGCACTCGAACCCGCGAACTTCCTGCTTGTAGCATAGTGCCTCAATCAACTGCGCTGCCGTGTGACCCAATTTACGAAGAAACTGAGGACAAATAAAATCTGGATTCAGAATTTTCTGTCTTCCCAATCCATCTAGAATCTACTTTGCCTTTACATTTTTATTAGTTAGAGCTGAGACAGCTAAGTCGGTAAACTGATGGACTGCGGCCTGGACGGTCAGGATTTGATTCCAGGCAGGTGAAAGATTTTTCGTTTGTCCACAGCGTCCAGACCGGCTCTGAGGTCCACCCAGCCTCTTATCCAATGGGCACCGGGGGTTCTTTCCCTGGGGATAAAGCGACCGGGGCGTGAATTTGACCACTCAACTCCATCTACTGCCAAGGTCAAAAATGGAGCTATATCTCCACTCCCCCATACGTTTCATTCGCGTGATGCTTAATTAAGCACAATAACAAATTTACATTTATTTTGTATGGACGTGGAACTTGGTTCCTCACGCTGAGTTAGCGATCCTGAACCGCTTTCAGGCAACGTCTCCTTAGTCTCAGAGGGAAACTTCACTTCGACCCATCCATTTTTTTACACGGTGACTTGCATTTTATCTCAGAGATATGTTATCGTACATTTGAAGGCAGACAAGCTATAAAAGCACAGTCTTCTGGTATATAACGCCGCGTATCCGACGTTTCGGAGGAACAAATAATGTTCTTCTTCCGAATCAGCAGATGTAGGAGTTACAGCCCAGAACACGTACTCTCCATGGTCAGCTCCATGAGAGAACTTGAAATCCAACGACAAGATATACGAATACCTACAGAGGTTATTTTACATTTTGAACAAATTTTATTTTATTCCACGCACAGAAGCTGTTGTAGAAAAAAGCTGCCAAAGAATGTTTAAGCCTTTGCAACCTGACTTTTATAATGTATAAAAAAAACGTCAAGAACTCTGACATGAGGTTTCGCGTGCCCCTGGCGGTGCATATACCCGCAGTTCAGAACCGCTGCTTTGAGGCCTGTGCATTGTGGGCTTTTCAGAACAGATTACTCAGGAAACTGGAGAAAACTGCATAATGAGGAACTTCGTAATTTGCATTTCTCGGCAAATACTGCGATAGGCGTGTTTTTAAAGTTTCTTATTCCAAGACGCTGACAGGAGCGAGGCTACATAGCGTTCATGACGGGGTGATTAATGAATATGGAGCAGTTTCTAGGATGATGATTGGCAGAGAAAATTGAAATACTCGGAGAAAATCCGCCTCAGTGTTATTTAGTCCACCACAAATAACAAATAAGTAGTTCTTTCTATCGTGAAGATGGAGGGGGAAATTTCTTTCGAAATGTTGGTAACCAGCTTCATGGTTGTCATGACCCAGAAGACCACATTATTAACCTTCTGTGCCCCGAAACTTGGAATCTTACTTCGGCTATACGCCCTGGATCTAGCCGCGCCACCAGCCCAAAACGGGGCCCACAGCAGCTGAATATATGCGAGCTCAACTGAATCGCGCCTGAGGGGTAAGACAAAGGCTGAAATCCGGGTTAAGGCGTCACGACGCCATGACCAACAATAAAGATGGGGCCCTTGTATTTAGAAAAGTATTGTAAAGGTAGAAAGAGGTACCGAATGCGGCATCCGGCTCTTCCAAAAACCCCGTAATTCAGGATTTCAGGAGTAACTGGATAAAATCAGTTCAATAAGTTAAGAAATCCTGTTGAGTTGATAACAGTCCATAATGACAGCCTTTGTTTCTATTATTGGGTGTGGGCCGCATGATGTGAGTGTGCAATGCAATGTACTTGTCTATCTATGGTTCTATAGTCCTTTGTTGGACTTCGGCCGGCCACTTCTCAGTTTCTTGATCTTGTATACTGTCGGCAGGACTCCTTTGACGGGGATCAGCCCGTCGCAAGGCCCACCTGCACACACAGGACAGCACAAACACAGAATAAACGCACATACAGACATCCATGCCTTGAGTGGGATTCGAACCCACGATCCCAGCGTAAGAGCGAGCGAAGACAGTTCATGGCTTAGACCGTGCGGCTACCATGACCGGCGCAATGAACTTGCAGTGTGTGGAGCGCTCTCTGCTGGACTACTGAACTGTTTACGCTAGAACAACTACGAGTACTGCTTGTTTATGTACTAAGGAACGTGATTGTTTGAGATGCTCCTTATAAAGATTAAATACTTTGATCTGAATAGGTAGATACTCAGGATAGATCCGTCGGTTTAACCTACGGGATGGACTGTAGAGGGATAGCGGTTCGACATCTGGCTGGGCCAAAGAGCTTTTCTCTTCTACACAGCGTCCAGATCGACAGTGGGGTTCACCCAGCCTCCTGTGCAGTGGTAACAGGGGTTGCCACCGAAGTTAAGAACGCGTGATATCCAGCCCACTTGCAGACACGGGGATATGATCGTAATTCAGCACCCCTAGCACAGAGGCATATTTTTCGTTACAGGGCAGTTGATAAAGTAACTGGTTTATATGTCTTAATTATGATTAACTTAACACCCTCAGTCTATGTTCCTCCCTTAATGTCAGAGACCAAGCTTCACACCCATACAGAACCACAGGAAAAATTATATTTATATACTGTATATTCTAATTTTTATGTTTTTCGACAGCAGACGAGAAGACAAAAGGTTCTGGACTGAATGGTAGCAAGCATTACCCGAGTTCAGCCTCCTCTTAATTTCCTCCTGAATCAGGTTTCGATCTGTTATCGCCGTTCCGAAATACCTGAATTGTGCCAAATTATTAATAATAATAATATTATTATTATTATTAATTTAAAACATAAAGGGAAACAGCTATTATTAACAGGTTAAGACAAAACATTTTCTGAATTCTGCACCAGAATTGAAAGCAAGGAGCAACACCTTCACCCCCCCCCCAACCCATGCCCCAAATTGTTTTTCGATTGTCTCGGGTGTTCCTTTGCATCATCATTTCAGTATGACGAGCTGCAGTCAACTGTTTGCCATCTTCAGAGATGTGTCGCGGGCAATTTCCTTTAGCAGTACTCGGATAAGCTCAGCTTGCAGTTCCTTCTCTGACTCTACAGCCCTCTACAAACGTTGGCCTAGTTCAGACAAAGAAGTCCATTCTACATCACGTCGCAGTAGCTCTTAATAGTTCCATCTTAAATTTCCGTTACTGTCCATGTTTTAAATGCATTTAGTTCCTTAGGGCATATGGGTTGTATATCCATGATTAAATTGACTCAAATCACAATAGAAATTAGAGAAAAATTCCCTCTTTTTCCTATCTCAGATATTCAATTTTTCATATTTCAAACGTCGCATCTTCGTTCACTCTGTTCCGTAAAATGGGAAATAGAACTATTAAGAAATATGGAGACGTCTTATTTGTCTTTTATATTCATTCATTCACTCGTGAATCATTCTCTACATACTCCAGCCATCTAAATCTAGGCCTTCCCATTTTTAGCCTATGTCCCGTATTCCGAAATCATAAAAGGAGACTTATGAGATCATCTTGCTCAGGTCCCCACTAAAGTTGCTACGAAACGGCTTCTTAAAACGTTACCGAGGCAACGAATATGCATGCAAGAATAGAAGAACTGTTGGTCCAGGTGTGTTCTGTGCGGTCCGTGTCGTACAAAGTACTCAGTATGTAGTGAAAGGAAAGTAGTCGAAGTCAGAGACAAAGTCACAGTGCGACTGACGCTCAGTCAGTTACTAAGGGGGCTCATGAAGAGATATTTATTACTGTTTGACAGTTTTTATCTTGTTTGTGTGGTGCGCCCTCTCTGATGACAGGACGCGTCTGTCTATTGTACATGCCGCTGGCCTTGCCAGCGCAGTCCTCCTCGGGTCCGAGTCCCTTGGTACTCGAGACCATATATTACTGTCTCAGATTTGAGATTTCCCTTTTCGTCGCCTCCTACGCGTCGCAGGGTCACGGTGGGGGTATTCGACCCCGCCTCCACACGGGTTGAAATGAAAGTAGGAAATTCGGTTAGAATATACTAAAATAGGCTTAAACTTGGCGGTGGTCGAACGTATGACCATTCAAGTGAATAGCTGCCGTTGTAGCATGAGATAAGTAAGACAGGCAAGATCTGCTCTGCAGTCACATTCCACTGCGGTACATATGCAGCACTGAGTAGGAATTTTATGGAGGTCACTATTATCATTAACTGCCAGGTTTACACCGTTTAACCTGGTCCCACCTTCGGGTTAAAAAAAAAGTAAAGGTTTCCTTATAACAGGCCGTGGAGGCCCATAGGGTTGAGAGATGTTGAGGTTCCCGCATTATCCAGACAGTCGGCTCACAGATGGCAGTGAGGTTGTCAGCCTTACGCGCCGGCCGCCCTTTACCCCCATGAATATTCCTGGTACTCATTTATGTTAGAGGCTGAGTCGACCCCAGGGCTATAGTGCGGCTG